TGCTCTGCAAAGCCCCATTCTCAGCAAAGAATAAAAGTTTCCATTCTCAACGGTGCTAAGACAAATGGGTGCCTCTCTTTGGGTCGGGGAGGTGCATCATGATCGGGCAGGATCTGAACCACAAGTGAGAGGAGCCCAACTCCAAGTGGCTTTAAGGAAAGGGGAGACTTACTGGAAGGACACTGGGGATCCGGGACACAGGAACCACAGCAGAGGCGAAGATCTCAGTGACTGGACCCAAGGAATCAGAAGCCATCAGCTCCCTCTTTCCCTCCCTCACTCTTTCCCGTCTCTCATCTTTGATTCTCTTAGCCTGACAACTTTCTTCCCTCACACTTCTACACATTTATCCCTATCGCGTCTAATCCCTAAGGAAAGAAGCTCAGAAAAACCTCAGGATACCAAGGAGGGCTCTGATTGGGCCACCTCAGATCACGTGTCCAGCCCTGGAGCAACCATCCTGGCGGGGGGCTTGGGGGTACTATGATTGGCTTTACTTGATCACGTGGCCCTGCCCAACGTGATTGACAGTCTCCTCCAGCACCACGTGACTGCAGCTGGGGCGAGCCAGCCCCCAAGGAAGTGGCCGCGAGTGTTCTAGACAGTGGAAGAGTTTGTGATGGCCCCCACCAACTCCACCCCCTCCTGTTTCAGAGGGATGGTAACGGGTAATAAAAATACCTTCTACCCTTCCCATCTCACAGGACCTTTGGCAGTGGCCTGCTCCAGGGGGGGTTCTGGGTGAGGCCCTTCAAGCTGAGATGGTTCCCGTTTGTCCCCCCACCCCAGTCACCAGCTCTCTGCCAGTGTCACACCTGCAGTGTCCTTTCCAGTCCCACTTCCCAAGTGATGGGCCGTGTGGATCCCTGAGCCATGCCCACCCCTCCAGGGCCCAGCATGCTCCTTCCCTTGGCCTCCAAGGCTGCTGGCGAGGATGCCACGCATGTAAAGGGGCCCCAGGGTGCACTAAGCCTTCAGCGTTTCTGAGCTTCCTCCAGGGGCAGAGCTACAAACCACTGGTTCGAGCTGCCATGGTTTGGCACATTTGGAGTGGAAGCATCACTTCTTCCCACCTGGAAGCAGAGGCCCAGGCTGGGGACAGCAGGGGTCAGAGGTGGAGGGAGACCCACGTGAGAGAAGGAGCAGGGAAGAATAAACAAGGTGGAAAACACACCCCACGCAATGCACGGTATGGGCCTTTACTCGGCCAAGACAAATCAGCGAAAGGGACGACGCCTTTCCTTCCTCATCTCTCCATTCAGGACAAATTTACGGAGCACCTACTATGTGCCAGGTGCTGGGGTGGACCCCAGGGATAGAGGGCTGGGTTAGGAACCCACCACCGATTCATGGAGACACATGAAGAGACAACCCCCAATGGGGAGGGCCAGATGGAGAAAGCAACACTGGTGTGGGTAGGGGGCCAGAGGAGTGAGGGGCTTCCTCTTCAGGGACCAGGGAAAGGCTGCAGTCGGGCGAGAGGGGGGGCATTCACTTCAGTCTTGTCACCCCACCCTGAAACACACCCCTAACCCTTGCAGTTACCTTCTCTGTGCACACCTGCCGTATGTCCACGGTTCCGTGTGTCTGGTCCCTCTGCGGTGGCCCTGGATTACGATCGGCTTGGGGGGGGTGAAAGAGGACTGGTTGCAGAGCTGACAAAGGGGGAAAAGGTGAGAGCAGAAATGGCATTTTTTTTTAAACAGCAAATGTCATGCATGGGCTTAATGGAGACTCAAGTGAACAGTTTGTCAAACTCATTTTCCAAGTGGTCTTCATGGAACCATAAGCAATGTCTCTGTTGGGGAGAAACTACCAATAAGAGTAAGAATAATAGCTCTGGTTAATTACATATGCATTTCACTGTCTCCCCATGAGCCCCTGCAGGGCATGACCCCCATTGTACAGATGAAGGAAGTCTCCTCCAATCTTGTGGCTGCAGTAGTGGTTACAGGCACATCGTAGGCCCTCAGTAAATACATGTTGAGTAAATGAATGGATGAATTAGTAGATGCTTCCACTAGAACGCACTGCTGCATCATGTCGGGACACATACGGTGTCAGCGTGGCTTACTGCCGTAATATCAAGCAGAAAGAGTCAGGCTTTGCCTCCCTAGATGAGCCTAAGGCCAGGGCTGGAGCTGTGTCAGTTAATGAGCCCACTGTTCCTGAGGCTCTATATTTGTAGCCTGTGCTACCAACATGAGGAGAAATTCTGATCTCCATCAACTTTTTAATTTTATTTCTATTTTTTTGTCTGCGCTGCATAGCATGTGGGATCTTAATTCCCCAACCAGGGTCAAACCCATGTCCTCTGCCTTGGAAGTGTGGACTCTTAACCACTGAACCGCCAAGGGAAGTCCCAAAGTCTGATCTTCGAAGCAACAATCTTCCCCCACCTTCCACTTTTATCCTTTACCCAATGCAGACCAAAGAGATTTATAGCCACCGGTGAGAGAAAAGGTAGAAAAAACAGGGAAAGATAGATCTTGAACCTTCTTGAAAGACTGTAAATTGGTACAATCTTTTTGGAATGACTTGTTCTTAAAATATGTATAGTCTTGTCCCAGTAATTTTGCTTCTAAGGTTTAT